AAGTCCTTCATTTCGGATATATCGGCAAAGAGAACTGAAGAACTCCTTCACCTCAGTAAGCAGGAAGTAAGAATTGTTACAGGCTTTCTTACTGGCCACTTTAGGGTAATGAAATACTTGTCAAACATAGGAGTTGTCAACTCTGACCAGTGTAGGTTGTGTAACGAAGAACAGGAAACAGCGGAGCACATTATGTGCCACGGTGAAGCCCTTACGAGGACCAGACTTTGCTTCCTAGGATCACCGTACCTAGAAGCACACGACCTAAATGGCATTCAGCCAAAGGACCACACGAGGTTTCTTAACAGTACGTGGATCAAAGATGAACTGTAGTTGAATAGAAGTTTGTTACAATAGATCGCTTCGGTCGCGGTAACTAGGTGACCTGCTCCCTCCCCTAAATCGAATCTAATCACTCAAAGCGCTCAAAGTTTTCTGTGTTTTTCTTTTTTAATTTTCTTTCAATTTTTAGATTTTGTTTTTACAATAAATATATATTTTTTTGGTAATTCTTGTTTTTGATATAATTTTTATCTTTTTCGAATTACATTTTTTGATTTTATTATTTAAAAAAAATATATATATATATTTTTATTGTCATCCAATTTTAAAAGTATATTTCTATATATTTTTGCTTTATTTTCAATTTCTTTTTTACTTATTTTATTTAATTTTCTTTTGTTTTTTAGTTATTATTATTTTAAAAAGAAAAACATATATGTTTTCTTTACTTAATTCAATAATAAAAAATAAATAAATTGCTAAAAGACGAACAGCATAACGTTAGCAGATCTTTCAATTAGTATTTCAAAAGACAGAGTAAAGAGCTTTCAAGACAGTTGTCTTTCGAAGGACTTTTGCCTTTCGAAGATAGTGTTGTTCCGATACCATCATGTACTCGATACCTGTACTCTTTAAAAATATTGAAGAAAAGTATCGATGATACAAATGAACCGGAGAGAAGTACTCGATACTTACTTGTATCCAACTCATTGTAAATACTTATATCATGTGAAGAAAAACAGAATCAGTTCGAATACTCTCCGACCAAAACTTACCGAAAAAGTAGCCACAAGTTTTTTCCGAGTACTTTCGGGCAAAACCTACTGAAAGAGAAGTAGTAATTCTTGCAAAATTTTAATGTTTGACTAGTACGGAAATGCAGTATTTAACAGTTTCTTTATTAGCCAACCTAACGTGTTGCAAAACCACAACAGCATGATTCATATATTGTCAGAACCAAAATTTAGAATTTATATATAAATTTTTCACGCTTTTATATTTTTTCTTTTTTTTTAATTTTTCGAGTGGCGTGGGCCCCCCGTTGCGCGGGCCCATAGGCTGGCGCCTATGTAGCCTGTGCTTAAATGCGACCCTGATCCGTAATTAAGAGTTGAAACGTGTGTATTTAAAGGAAGAATTAACTTTACAATTATTAAGTATATTATCATGTAATAATATGTCCATATATATGTACGATTCTACTCTAATATATTAACATACCATTAGTCCTTTAATAATTTTGTTTTATTTTTTTTATCTGCATGTAAATTTATAATTGGATGTGTAAAAAGTACTTTTACTCATATAAATATATGCTTTCAGACAGAATTTTCTTATGAAACCGTCATTTATATTGGCATGTATACACAGAAGCAAGCTCATGCCACCAACAGCGATGTCGTATGCTTAAAATTTCTACTGGGTAGTTAAGTTCACCCGCCAGTTGGTGCTGGAGTTGATTTATTACCAAAAAAAAACTAATATTTGTGATCCGATTTGGCTAACATTCAAAACATATATTGGTCACGGTGAGGGACTATTACTAAAGATCGCCAAGTAAGAAAAGGGTGCCGTGAATGCCAGATTAAATCGACCTATTACACCATTGAGTATATCGAATTCTCGTGTGTTACGATGGGCCGAACGGTTGTGATTTGCCAATATTATTATGCGGTAAATCTTTATTCGGAAACACCAGGGTTTAGTTGTGCAGCTTTCATGAAATGGGCTTTTAAGGTACTTTGTCTGAAATAAGTCTATGTATATTGGATTTCTGTAGAACCCGTTTTGAAATTGCCTAACATACTATACAGTTTCTAGGACAGATTCAATATATTTGGTTGTGCGTTAAGGGTGCTTTGAAATGCTGGTGGAAATGTTGGTGGAAATGTTGGACCAAAATGTTTCATGGAAAAAAATTCCTGCTGGTTTTTAATATTTTTTTTTTGCTGACGGTGGTGAACATTTTCTCCCATAACTATAAATATTCTGGACATTTACTTGTTTATGAAGGAACATGCCTAACACCGCACAGTGCGTAATTTGGGCGATTTAGTGGAAGGAAAATCGAAAATCGAAGTTGGTAAAAAAGTTCAAATACGATATATGTGCGTATGTCTGATATAATGGAAAATTGGTCCCCAATTGTTTGAAGGTAAGCTGGAAGAATGCTGACCTTGTACAAACATCCATGTTTTGACGAAAGATAATCGCCAATTTTCCGGCCTATATCAATCTCATTTCCTAACGAGACTACAGTCTTGGGTACACTTTTCGTTTTACACTTTGTCATCATTTTGCAATTTTGAACGTCATCCTTGCATGTCAATTGCGTTCCTTTAAATTTGAAAAAACTGGGATTTCACTTTTTTCATATAAAGATATAATATGCGTGTCAGCGCGTATAATCAGATCTCTTCAGGAACCTTTAATCGATTATCTGTGTATCAAGGGCCAATAATAGAAATTTGCACTGTACAATTAAAAAAAGTCGATTTAAGCCAACCTTTGGTAAAGAAATCGCATTTTTGTGTATTTTTGATGACAAAAATTTAGTCATTGGGATTTTTCTCATGTCGGGTTCGTGGTGGTAGCGAAGGAGGCAGGCGTCATCAAATGCGCGCAGGCTTGGTGTGGGGATCAAAAGCCGCAGATTACTGATGTCGTAATTAGGCGTGTAAAACAACGATGCGAAACTTTCTGCAATATACTTAGAGAAAGTACCATGGGCGCCCGCATACGAAACCATCGTAAGAAATATATCGCTTATGTAAACAGTATATATACGATATAAAAGCTCAGATATCGCATACTTGTCGCATATCATTTAGTTTTTTAATATTTTTTTTTAATTTCGACTAAGAAAGAACTGGTGTAATTCGGAGAAGTGCTGTTAAGGCACAACCAAGAAAAAATATAAAATTTTAGCACCATTTATATAACATTAACAGTATATTTGCTCTGAAATGGTATGCAATGCCCACGTTCAAACATTTCCCTACGATAAGATCTCGTATGCGAGAAAACTGGCAGCTTGTATGCGAGTGCCCATAGCAAATGTAGACGTGGGGTAAGAGGAGAAACACAAATAATTATTTAAATTTCTTTCTATATTTATTGCAAAAGTTGTAAAATGCCGGAAAAAGGTGCGAAAACATTAGAAATCAAATTATATGAGTCAATATTCCGACTAAAGCGCCATCTAGTGGGACTATCACGTACATCCCCTGAAACCGTAACTATAAGTCTATTAGAAGTATATAACTAAAAAAAATTATTTCTAGAATCAAAATTGTGGGCGCTATGATTTTTCTTCCCCTAAATCGCCGAAATTATGCACTGTGCACCGTCAGCAAAAAAAAATATTAAAAATCAAGGCTATTTTCTAGCGTTTTAAAATTATGTAATTTAACATATAAGAATTTAATGGGCTATAAAACTACATACCTAAAATTTTCTAGAAATTTGTAATAAAAGGTTCGTGTCAAATTTGACCCGATATAAACAACCTAGGTTTTTGTATTGCCGAATGTAATATTTTGCTCAACAATGATATCGGCGATTTTCTATTTCCATTGATACTTGTTCGCCTCTTTCCCTCTTATCTATTGCTCTGTATAAATGCTTTAACATCGAGAAATCCGCAAGATTATTTATTCGCATGTAAACGTGAAATCTTAATTGAATGGAGTATCAAAGGAGGAGAAATCTTGTTCGGAAAGTAAAGATAACACAGAAAAAATATGCTGAGCTATCTGATAATTCAATTTACAGTTACATCTGCAAATTATGGCTGGAATGAAAATGTTTTCTTAAACCCTGATATTTTTCCTTAAAAAAAAATAAAAGTGACTTATTTTGGAATGTATTTCCACCATCCTTTGTCCTTTATGCCATCTTCAGTTTAATTTTTCGTTTCACAATAAACAATCTTATCACCCTGTCGGAAAAATCAGCCAACTACCAAAATATTAAAAGTGTTAACAAGATCACCATTTTCTCTATTTCATCAATATCAGAGGATCTATATAAAAGTACGACTAAGAGAAGTCGCTCCCAAGTATGTCCTAATTACTTGTAAAAAGTTTGTATTTAAGCAGCATTGTAAATCGATTGTTTTATGTAGCCATACAACAATTATAAACTTCAATCAATTTTGATTTTAACTTGAATTTAATTTTATTTTTAACTCATATTAGATATCATTATTATTTTGGATTTATTTGATATACATACATAAGTCCATAGGTATATGTTCCTTGCGCCAGTTTTATAAAACGAAAAGAATTTAAATATATGCTTATAAAAAATATATGCTTTACTTAGTAGTTGTAGCGATTCGATACGATTTATTCGAATAGATCGGTTCCTGATCCACTTCTCGGAAGAAAGGAGCCTATATGCTAATCTAGGCAAAAAGCTACCTACATACCAAATTTTAAGCAAATCGGACCATAAATATGATTGTTTCGAATAGATCGGTTCCTGATCCACTTCTCGGAAAAAGGAGCCTATATACTAATCTAGGCAAAAAGCTACCTACGTACCAAATTTTAAGCAAATCGGACCATAATAAGATTTTTTCGAATAGAACGGTCCCTGGTCTACCTACCGGAAAAAGTAAATCTTCATTTGGCCTACAACATGGTGGTTTCTGAAAGCTATTTATATACAAAATTTCATTTCGCGAGATTACCTGTTATAAAAAAAGGAAATCCTTTTTATTATTATTAGTATAGATTATAAACATTAAATAAACAGAAGAAAAATATTCAAAACTGGTCAAAACGTCACTTAACAAAATCAGCTGACCACAAGTGTATAATAATTCGTGTTTACCTTAGCGTATGAGTTACCACAGGCCTTTGGTCAACCTACCGACATAGTACATATGTATGTACTAGGGATGTTTCGAATGTCATATTTTTCACATTCACACAAATTAACTAAAATATTTAACTATTAATACAACTACGTAATATTAGGACTTAAATATTTTACAGGTAATCACAAAAAGAGGATAAAGTGCAAACGTTAACAAAAACTGCGAACATATTTGAGGCACACACACAATCGCAGCGTTACGCAATACATTCAGGCAGGTTTTGAAATACAGTTTCGAGTGAATTTCTATCAAATTCGCTTTGAATTCAAATTGGAAGGGGTTGAAATTCACTCGGAAGTGAATTGCAGAACCTGCCTGAATGTATGTGCGTAACGCTACGCGCACACTGCAGCCGGCATCGGCCGAATAGTGCTCGGCCGATATCGGCTATATGCGGGCGATATGAATAAACACTTGTGATTATATGAGCGCTCTCACACATAAACCGATAGCCGAACCGACATCGGACGTTGACTTCCGTCAGTGACGATAAATTCAAACATGTTTGTTTTTCTCGTCCGATGTCAGATGAAAAGTACCAAAATGGACTGGGAAAAATTAATTTATTGGGTGCGAAAATAAAAAAAATTACATATAAAATCACATGTTTAGAGTATGTCAATTAAAATGTATCAAAATATTTCACTGCTTACAAAATTGTAATGAAAACTAGTTTTGTGTGTACAAATATGGTCGGCAAATAATCTAGTTAAGTGTGCGCATCATTTCGGACGGTCAAATTGTTCGGCCGAAATCGGTCGGCCTATCGGATGCAATGTGCGCCTAGCGTAACGCTACGATTGTATGCTTAATGGTCGTCAACTGCGAGCTATGCCCATGTACACATTCGCATTCGCAAAATATTCGTATCATTAGATGCGAATGCGAATGTCGATGCGAATGTGCAAACTGATGCGAATGATTTGCATAACGATTGCGAATGTAAATATTCGCAACATCCCTGATATGTACACACAGTATCGATCATATCAATAGCACACACAATTCAAAGTGACATTGTTTGCCACTTACGTTTATTTATTAAAAATTTAAAATAGAGTTCATTCTCAGACAAAACCCATATAAATCTTTGTAGAAAACTTAAAAAAAACAAGTAAGAGCAGCGCTGTCTTCGGCTATGCCGAAGGCTTCATACCTTTCATGAACACCTGCAAATTTTACTTTGACAGATTACTGCTTTTGAATACATCTGCATACATCGATAGAGGAGTTACATACTTATATAAAAAATCGCATCTAAACAATCAGAGGTATGGAAGATATACTTTATATGGCACCAATCTAAGTGATTTTCACNCAAATGAATGGTTGCCACGTATAACGTTATAAGCGGCATACGAATTAGTTTTGTGCATTTTACAAAAATTTCGTTAAAAAAAATAAAGAAATTGAACGAAATTCTTTAGTATATAGTACGATATTTGTTAGTAAATAGTAAATCCGTAAAATTTACTAAAGATCTGATGTCTCATATTTTCGTAGCATGTATGAAAACGGTTTTGTACAGTTAGCGAAAACTTTCGTGGCTGTAAATGACGAAAACAAGTTTTCGTTGTATTTACGCAGATTTTATTTTCAGTGCGAGAGGACACCCACCTGGTTTAGTGGATGTTTCTGTGCTGGTGTCTGATACTAAGTGAATAACTCAGTGAGAAGGAAGACCAGTATGTTTGCTTGTGTGTATTTATATAAAAAAGAAGTATTTGGGGCCAATGTAAAAGGTTCATTTACCACCTCTGCATGATTGTAAGCCGTACAGAGTCAGCAAACTGCTCCGGAGGATGCATCAGACTAGGCCGAGCATCCTTTGAAGTGTCATCTAATTAAAACTTAAGGAAGTTCAATTGTATGGCAGTTGAGAAGTGCAAGTGCAAAAATTTCATAAATTACATAAAGGAGATATTTGCACATGCAGCAGTACATAGCATGCATTTAGGCGCCCGGTGTTAGCAGTCGCGCCTAAATACTAAGAATTAGCTATTGTCGTAGGGCGTGTAGGCTAAATTTTTTGACTTTTCAAGCAATATTGCCTTGAAATGTTGATATGCTCGTTGGTCTCTTTCTTCGGGTATCGACAAAAATGAGGCTTATGTTGCTGAACTTAGATTTGCCGTGAATAAAAAAGGGTTAGTGGGGTTTCAGATCAACTGGGCAAGAATATACAATTCTCTTTATATTACAGACTAACTTAAATGCGCTTAAAGTATTTAGACAAGATTTATTTCAAAGAGCCAATAATCCAATTTGTGTGTACGTACTTACGTACCTTAGTTCACATGGCGATCACTGCATTCAAAGTGTCAGCGAGCAAATGCAACTAAAATATATTCGAGCACATGCATGCGCAAAACTTATAGCTTCTAAGGTAAACTTACCTTCATATGTACGTACATATATGTATACTTATCCATATACATACATATGTACTATTCACCAAAATTGCTTTTAAATATTTCAATCCATTCCATGGATATGAAAGATGGCTCCGCTGGGAAGAGGGCGGCAAATGGTGCTCTGCTGATTGAGAGGAATATTTGAAAAACTAGACCGTTGTGAATTTGAAAGTGTCAAGGTAAATTATACTCCTGTCACACATTTAGCTTAGATTTTTTCGTTGTGCAACTTCCGTTTGCCAATGTCCAAAATAACAAGTACGAGCAGAACTATCAACTTGCTGGTGGTGGTTTATTTTCTGTCATTGCCGTTAGCTTAGTAAATATTTGGAAAAATATATACATATACATGTACTTGTACATATGTATGCATTTTTTTTTACTTCCTAGTTCGGTGGAGCTGCCACTCACACTTATGATCCAGACGCATACTTGCTTGCATATGCACATATAAAACCATATGCGAGCAAGCCCACGTGCAGCATAGTTAGCGACCAAATCAACAATTCTAATAATAAAAAAAAACAGGAAATATCTTAAGCAGCACTTGGCAGATTGATAATGATTGATCGCTGTGCTACATTAGCGCCGACACTAAGTCAAGTTTGGAATTGTGAATACCACGCGGCTGAAAGAAGCGGTTGACTGTCGAGAAAGGTAAGCTTTTTACTTGCATGTTTTCAAAAAAAAACATATCCCACTAACAAGTGTGTGTTTGTATTTTCTGTTCTTTTTTTTTACTGCTGTGGAACATGTTGCCAAAATTGATTTTTCGTTCCTTAAGCTATTAAATTTCAAATCCGGCATCGCTGTATGTACATGCACACAAACACACGCAAGTATCTGTTTTTAAAAGTGTTCATGTGAATTAGGGTAGTACTTAAAACCAAATGTAACATTTTTTTCAGTCTCAGCCCCTCAATCGGTAATGCCACGGTCACAGATATCACATATATAGATTTTAGTGCCGATTGGAGTCGGTTAAGGCAAATGCCTCTATGGACTCAAAAAATGTTAAATATTGTTTTTTAATTTCATGCCCAAATCGAAACTACTAAAGTCGAGAATATCACATATATGTAAATTTTGATACCGATTGAAGTCGGTTAAGACATCTTCATAGGGTAATCTTAACTTTGAGCCCTGTGCGACACGCCCTAAGCAACTTCAATCGGGACCAAAATTTATATGCTATATCTTCGACGCTTAGGAGATCTGATGTTAAAATTTGCTTCCAATATTTAAGCACCACCCTAATATTCATATATATATATGTGTTAATTTTATCTGGCTGGTGGCCATAATTTTGTTAGGTCTTTTTTCATGGCGACCGGGCATGTAGACTATCTGCAATTTTTAGTTGGTCATCATTTTGCTACCTGTCGGCTATTTTTCCAATTTATTTATTTTCTTTTTCGCTTGTAAAATATTATGAATTTTCAAAGATAAAATCACGTGGAACAATGCTGACAGCGCAAATGATTTATGCTTCATCGCCTCGTCGGTCTATTAAAGGCCAAAAGATATTTTAAATAGCAAATCTGTGCCTCTGTGAAATGTTTAGTGAGGTTAACGTTTTTCAACATTTACATATCCACGGGTGGTCCGTATAGTGCTTTTTTAATCATTTGTTATTTCGACAGTAACAGCTCTTTCCCGCCGGAAATGTTGACTGAAAGTTAGTACCATATCGCCATCGAACGAAATGAATCGCTTTAAGCTTGAAAAACGTTGGAAAATAATGAAAAACTTATGCAGCGCGAAATGGACAACGATTTTCCTCGATAAATCACATTTTCTGCCGTAGAGCATTTTTATCCCGGCGACTGCGCTAACAAACGAAACTGCCGCATCTGAGGATCGTAGAACCCGCGCGTGATCGTCGAGAATTCTGTACATCCCCAAAGGTTAATTTTTCTTTGAAAATGCTGCTGGAAAGCCATTTCGGCGAACGATGAGCGCTACGCAGTCATGATAAACGATTTTTTGTGAACGGAAATTGTGTTTGGCCATGCCACATAGCCCATGCCATAATCGATCGTTTGCGCGTCAAGCTCACTAATCGTGTGTTATTAGTCGTCTCTGCGATGCCGATTGGTCATCTAGGAACTGGGATTTGTCGCCATTCGATTTGTTTGGGGTGCCACACTATGATCAAATGCGAAATAATTGATTGAAATTTTGTTTAGGGTGAAGATAAATGATTATGTTATATGGGAGAATAATAGACGAGACAAACAATACCTTAACCGTGCAAAATGTTACATTTTTGAATATTTTGGTTTTGGCTCTCATTCTATTTGAAAACACTATATTAAATATAGCATTAGCATTGTTTCTGAAAGATTTTTCTGTCTTTTAACTTAACACGCTATTAGAAAAAATAAAAGCTCTATTAAACTCTAATAAACTTCCTAAAAAAAATTATGTAACGAAAATAGTTTACCTCTCTTATAAGAATCGATCTATTTCTATCTCGTACTTTATTGCTTTCACAATTTCTCTTCTACAAGATATTTGCGAAATTTTAGGATCGGTAACATAAATGGCTCTTTTAAAGGGTTATAATATTTTAGTTTTCATTTTACCTTGCGTATCTTAAAGTGTTTTAGTGAAGAACATCAAAGGCATAGGAAATTCTTTGGCAATTTTCAACCATGTTTTAGCAGTTTGTGAAATGTAGGGCTCATTGGTGCCCACGGGTAAGGTTTATAGTAACTTTGGTTTTCTGATTCATACGGAATTTTAACAATATCATACACAAATTACCCGAGTGTTTACAAGATATGATTATAGTTTTTAAAAACTAAAGCAATTAATTTAAATTTTATGAAAGGAATACTGTGGTTTTGGAACGTTAGATGTGAAAAACGCATTTAACGCTGCGAGTTGGCAGCATATAATGGAAACCCTTATCAAAAGGGACACCCCGAATTAATTGCCAGGATCATTAGGTGCTATCTCTCTGAACGAGAACTGAAGTACGGTAGCGATAAAAGCATACAGCGTATCCGCGTGGGTACCCCAAGAACCCGTTCTTGGGCCTCTCCGGTGAAACTTATTGTATGACGAGGTTGTAAGAATCCATATGCCTCGTCGGGCAAAAATATTAGGATTCGCAGACGTAGCAATAGTAGCGAAGCATGTACTTACATGATATTGAAAGGAGAGCCAGCGAAGAGGATAAGATAGTGAAGGTACGGCTATCGTAGATATATATGTATATCAAGATACATAGAACTCGCTGGTCACAAAACAATGGCAGTATTGATAAGTAGCTGAAAGGCCGTAGATACAATAAGACTCAGTGTTGGATCAGAAAATGTAATACTGAAGCCCGTAATCAAATATTTATGGATAATTAATAACGGTTGTTTAAACTTTATGATTTACCTGGATCATGCAGCAAAGAAAGCATCGAATTTACAGGCATTCTTACCTAGAATGATGCCTAACATCCGTGGTCCTAAACTTAGTAGAATGGTATTGCTTAGTAAAATGGTCAGCCTTACTCTACGGTTCTCCAATTTGGGCTAAAGCAATGAGCCCAAAATATTATGCGAAAATACTCAAATCTGTGTAGATATCACCTAAGCGCACCAAGGACTATTTGAGGATTCCGAACAATGTCGTAATTTCCGGACTGCTTCCAATAGATATCCAGATACTATGCCGGTATAGCAGTACTCATAAGAGTTTCCTCTTACCGGATGTCATCTCAGAAAAAAAATACAAATGAAAGTGTTTTAAAATGTTCAACTTGGATCACATTTCTTATAATCGTCCAAATCGCTGATACATATTACATACATAAATAAACACATACATATATGTATACATATACGACAACTCGTCTCCCGCTGTTCAACTTCGGCAATCACAAATTATGTTGAAAGCAATAGTGTCACCAGAGCCGAATATAACAACAATGTTTGTTATTGAATTAACCAATATTCACGTTGTGGCAACAAAACATTTGTCTGGTTTGATGTCAACCAAAGAAAGTTCATATACAACATTTTTTCACTTTAAAGTGAGCAACATCGACGGTGTATATACCATGCCAAATGCGAACAATAACATGGTTGAGAAAACCATGGTCCATTTCGCTGAGTGTAACTAATAGGAATGTTAATTTTTCAGCTTTTTCCGATCCCGGGATTTTCGGTATGTCGTTATCATAATCCCGGGATTCCGAGATTAGTCCCGGAATTTAGATATTCATTACTTTTCAACAACTTAAATCGAAAAAACTTCTTCTATATTGTTTGAGAAGCTCTCCTACCATAAAATAAATCTATACTATAATAAAACTGTACATTGTTTGTCTGTTTGAGCTCACTAATCTCCGGAACTACTGAATGGATTTTCATGGGGCTTTAACTGGTATATAGAGAGTGACCTCGGACGTAACCTCGGGTATAAAAAAATGAAACCTGACAAAGGGCGATGCACCTCCCATAGGCGTGACATTTTTAATCAACCATAACTTCGGAATCATACGTCACATGAATTTGAAATTCTGCTCTACATCGCAAAAAATGGTGCCGACAGATGGCGCCGGAGTCGAGATATTTAGAGACCCCGTCTTTGTCGTATGACCAGGAGTAACGGGTATTAACTTTATGATAAAAAGAATACGGTAGGAATATCAATGATTAAGAAGAATACGGTAGGAATATCAATGATTAAGAAGAATACGGTAGGAATATCAATGACCCCTTTTGAACGGGTAAACCTTCATCCTGGAAACAGGAGGATTATAGAAGATTACGCACTCTTGGCAAACCTTGCAATACGTACAGATATCTCACAGGTGGAAATAAGAGCTCATAACATCGAAGAATGTACTTAACCCAAATGCTATCTCAGCGCTATTATTCTTGGCCTATGAGTAAGCAAGGTTCTGCTCTTTAGTCCTTTCAACCTAAACTAATAAATTTTACATTACAAACCGTTTTTGCATAGCAACCCCATTTTTGTATTGGTCAACGTAAAAGTTCTTATAAGGCGTCGCGAAGCAAGCCAGGCATTTGCTAGTAATAAATAAATGGGTTTGAAACGCACATTTTTATTTAAAGTGTCGTTTTTATTCTCTCTCTCTGACGTTAGGATTTATTTTAAAGGACTTTATAAATTCAAAGATATGAATAATTCCAAGCATTATTTAAAAAATTCAATGCAATGGTGAATAAAAATATGGGTACCAAATGCATAAGGAAATTTTTTTAGAATTTAAAAAAATTTAAAATTTTTTGATTTCACAAGGACGAATAGGTAACTTTTTAACATCATAAATTAGAAGGACGAAATTCAAGGATGTTATCGAGTTTATATAAGTCCTTAACGTATAATTTTTTCAAAAACAAATATTGCGAAATTTCAAGGATAAAATCTTAAAAGAACATTTTCAATACTTACCAGTCCTTCTGCACCAAAAACTTGAATCTGATTAAATTTCATAGGCTTTCCTGTTTAATTTGATACCCATGCTTCTTCTCTAAGCACATTTCTTTGAATTTTTAAATCATTTACTGACGTCAAGGTGAAAAACTAAAAACGCAATTGTACCATATTTGTGCCATACCTTCACGAATATTGATATTTGTGTTTAATATTTACTATCGCACGGTGTTATATGTATAATGAAAAATTTAGATAAACTAAACACTTCATATTCCAATACTGAATTCTGTCTAAATAATCTGGCGCTTGAGGTCGAAATAATTCTCTGTTGTATAAAAGCATACCGTCTTGCTCGGAAAATTATACAAATTACAATAACTAAATGTTCTATATCTCAATTTACAGGAAATATTTAAAAATTACTGCTGCTAATATCACTAATGGTTTGTTCATTGTATTACGCTCGGACTAATCACTTTCGTGTAATCAATTGTTATTGCTTTCTCCTTAAGTTTGATCAAACACGTGTATACATGGCGTATGAGTAATATTATTTCCAGTTCATACATATGTACATATCCGTCGCTTGGCGCGCAATACTTCGCCTACGCCGAATGCAATACCACGTATGTATAACATATGTAAATACATAGTCCGAAAATTTTGCTAAAGAGCCACAAAACTTACATATTTTCTTTAAACCTTTTGAATGGTTTTCTGACTGAACTTACTAAGTATATAAATACTTATTAGCTTCTTCTACAATTATTAAACATTTAATTAAGGAAGCACTAAGACTTTGCCGCCTCATACGATTTGCCGGATACGCGGCATTGCGCGTCAAGCGACGAAGTGTATGTATTTCAGACAAAAAAGAACGGAGTATTAAATTTAGTAGTTGATTACACGAAAATGATAACTCACAAAAGTTAGCTAGATATATCTTTGTTCCTATTTACGACCTCGACCTACAATTGCGTGACGTGAGTGTGAGCGTGCGTGAACTTTAACTAAAATCAATCACGCGCCCATCTCTAACCCGAGATGAAAAGCCATAAACCACAATGCTTGTTAAAACTTTAACGCCCGATTTCTCTTTTCATTTCCAGCGCATCTGAAAGTATTTAGCTTTCGGTGCGACACAGCAATAAAATGAATTTTTTTAGAAAAAGTAACTGACGTACTCTCAAATGTAAAATAACAATGGCTAACCCAAACTGACCCTCCAAGCTGATTTGGTATTTTCACAAAAGGTCGCTTTGATGTAAAAATCGATGGCTCAGCAAATACTTGAAGTAATTCAACCGCTTTGTGGTGTTTAGTATACGAGTAAATATGTACGCCCAATACTTATGTTTGAGTAATACCGCAGCTAACACATACATATTGTAGGTACAATATGTGTGAATCAAATAAAGGAGCTTTAAGTTTGTAGCAAAGCATGTAGCTAAGCTACTGGATCATGAGACTTAGCATTTGGGCTTTTTGCACATTAAAATCTATTGAACGTCTTAGCTTTAAAAAATTTGCTCTTTGATGTGTCTGTATTAGGGTAAAAACATAATGGAGCGGCGAGCAAAGAGAAGAGCTAGCATCGAGCAAAGCTCCAATTACAAACGTACATGTACGCTTTGCTCTGTACTATGCGTTCTCCCATTGAAACATATGCGTTTGAAGTCGACGCTTTGCTCGATGCTCTTTGCTCGCCGCTCCACTATGTTTTGACCCTTAGACCCTTAGCTGCACGATTACATTAAAAGCGTCATGAACTCTCTCTTGAAGTCTTAGCTGAGTTGCATGAAATATGAGATCATTTTAGGAATAATTTGTTACGTACTACATATGCCAGTATGTAGTTAGAAGAAGAGCAAAATTAAAACTAAAGAGTAAAATAAAATATATAAATCAAGTAAAATTAAAAAAATAAATAAAATTAAATAAAAAATAATAATTTTTTGGCAATCGCTCCTACTGACGATCGAACCTGGCACCTACAGACTTGTAGCACGCAACTCTCACTACTCGGCTACCGCGAACGCGAAAGTCGCTTGCTTTGTTTGATTACTTGTACAAAAGACAACAGCTGACCGTTTCTAACAGCGTTGTCATCGAGAATTCCCCTGATCCGAGTTAAATCCCAAAAATTTCGTGCATTTGTTCGTCTGCTTATGCGCATTTGAAAGAGGAAAATGCATGGGTTAATCCTAATAAAGGCTGTTTATGCATGTAAGCAAGCCCATTTATAATACGTATTAATCAACCATGATCGGAGTAAAACCTGATTGCTGAGTCTACTTCAATTTTCTTTCAGAAATAAAGTGCACCTATTGCAGTATCTAAACCTAAAAAAAAATTTTAAAACTAACAGAAGGATACGTTAGGTTATTAAAAAATTATAAATTTTCGTCTTACCTATTTGTATGTATATACATCTATGTAACTATGTGTATGTAAACGAATAATGTATAAAAAATTTACGGAATTTTATATTCTACTACGATTTACTCTGATTTACTGCGATTTAAGCTCGCCGGTGTTCTAACTCTGCTGAGCGGTGCTTTCAATGCACACAGTCTGACTCATTGAATTGTTTTAATGTGTTAGTATGCCGACCACCGATGCAAAGTATCCCAACCGACACAAAAACTAAGGTTAGATTTGGCGAAGAATTTGTGAAAGTAAAGGTTCCTTAATTAGTTCGCTGGCTCCATAGAAGGGAAGTCAAACATCTGCTTACGATATTTTGCGGATATTTGGTCAGCTGGGATAGAATGGCAAAACAACATGCTCAGTTGATTGTTCTTTATTCGTAATATTGGCACACGCTTGCCACATTTTTTGTATGAACTTTACAAAAAATACCCAAAGCCAAAAGTAACGTTTAATACACTTTGCTTTAGATTTTTACTTGCATGCGTTTGCTACAAAACAAACACAAAATGTATGAGCCTGAATGAGAACTACAATTCGAGTTAATAAATGACGGTAATATATATGTACATGAGTTAAAATTGCTTTAGGATTTTCATGAAAAGAACACAAATGACACACTTTATTTCAGAATAATTTGATTATAGTTATATAAGTATATAAGAAATTTTAATGCTGGTTTATACCCAAAAATAATGGATAATATTTACGAGGTAATCTATTTTTAAGAATTATATACCTATTTATGGGAAAGCACATTTTTATGAAAATAATAGTACCTAAACATTGAAAGATTTTATACCAATAAAATGGTACCCAAGTATAAAACAAATGAATTATACCAGTAAAAATTTTTAAAATTTTTACAAGCATTAAATTTTTTGTATGTAAAATTTCCCCTAAACTAATAGTTATTAGTTACTAAAAAGTTCTTACATCCATTGCTTCACTATACGTATAAGCAAAGGAGGCCAAAAACCCATGAATGAAAAATGTCCACTATTACTACATTTATAAAATGTGGCAACCATGAGCGTGACGCACTAATACCACGACAAAATGGCACTGCCTTCGTGTGCCCAGCATCAGTGTTACCAGTTGACCTATTTTATAGGTTTTTTTTCGACGTTGAGCTATAGTAATTTGCGTTTAGCTTCTAGCTATTTTCTTAGCTTTTTTAAATCGAGTTATACTACGTTCAAATTGACGAGCTAAACATGTTAAATGGGCTTGAACCAGTTAAATGAACAAAACATGTTCATAAACAAGTTAAATCGCATGCAATTGTTGTTGGAAAATTGAACCAGTTAAATCATTTAACTCGTTTGAAAACCAGTTCAGCGCAGAGTTGTATCAGAAAGCTTTCTGCTCCGGCCAATCACAAAGACCCAACAGCTTTCATTTGACACGCCAACGTTCAAAAAATGTATATTCTGAAAAATATTACAAATTAAAATCGTTTGCATGTCTGCCCACCAAAAAAGAGGCCAAGGCGGTAATTAGTTCTTTCCCAAGAGGTCTCATCGAGCGCAGAGATAAATAGTGCATACGAACTAAATATTTTGAAGTCTCCAAGTTATCCGTATGCGTTAATATCATGAAGCAGATATTCGCACAAAACAAACTGAAACACAAAAACTTGATTTTCAATATCTTTTTTTTTGAATTTTTATTGGTAATCAAACAACCGTCAAAGTTAACTCCAAATGTTCAATGTGGACGATTGTGATTTCCAAAAAACTCTATTTCATTTAACAACTTTAATGGGGCCAATTTCAACGTAATATTAGCTATTTTGGATACAAGTTTTTTTATAAATTCCTCACTTTACATAGAGTTTTATCATTTTGATGAATATCAAACAATACAACAAAATTTGTATAAATGGTAGCAATCACTTTATGGACTTACGAAACTATAGTAAAACTTCGTTTGTAGATTTTCTCTCTTTTATCAGGTTTTTTTTTAAAAGGACCTAGTAATTTTAAAGATATGATTGCTTCAAAAAACTATTTAAAAAATTCAGTGCAATGTAGAATGCCAAATGAAAGAAGAGGATAGATCAAAATAAGTAAAATTTTTTGGTTTTCGAGGACGAATAATTAACCAATTAAATTTATTCTTTTATTTCTCACTCCTACTTTATTATGATATCGTTTCTGCTAAATTGAAATATGTTTAATTTCTGTGACTTTATGAATTAATTTATGCTGAAGTAAATAAAAAATGCACTATGCAAGTTTGGTTAATATAGTTTTGAGATTATCTGGTCACACAGTGTGACTCACACTGCTATTGACGATGCAGACGCTGCTACTTTATTAGCAGAATATTACTCTGCTATGCCGTTACTAACCGACGATGCTGTTAGTAATCGTACGATGCGACGATGCGGCGGTGCCGAGTAACTTCGCTACGTTGACATCGTGGTAATCAGTGTTGCCGGGTTTTCGGCATGAGAAAACGTCCCTCTTGGTCTGAAAAAACGTCATTTCCTACCCAAAAACGTCTTTTCCATGTATGCACACAGAATTGTTCTTATTAAACTGTTATTATATACGTAAGGTATATTAAAATGTCATTTCGACAGAGCACATTTAAAATTCATTAGTGGTATTCACAAAAGTGAGCAAGTGGCCTGGCACTCTGGCAAAATAGCAGATGAGCTCAAGCAACGACTGTTGACAACAATTTGGTGAATACCACTATTGTAAACTAGTTTGAGATCGTTAATATAAAATTCCTTTTATACATACACTTGTGATCAGCTGATTAAGTCATCAACATTTTGATCCATTTTGGCTGTTTTTCTTTTGTTTATTATTTTTTCATAAAAGCCTAGCTCATAATATAACTAAGACAATATAAATCCACATTTCAAACTTTTTGCAAAAATTATAAAAAATCTGCAAACCTTCAGCTAGATTTTCAAGTTTTTATTCAGATTTTTTAGAATTTTTTGAGTATGCAGTTTGATAGCCTATTAAATTCCACGGTAATAATGTGCATGTTTTAAGTTGCTATAGAATCGCGTGGATTTTTTATATATTTTTTTTTCTTGTAGACATTTGGTTAGGTGGTCGCTTGTCGTAAATGCTAAACTAGGTTATGCTAAGTAGGAACATAGTGCTTTTGAGAGCGTGCGTGTTGCAATAGATCAGCTCTTCCTGATTTGGCTTTTAATATGCAATGGCAAACTTTGTAATAAGCCTTGTAACCTCAAGTGTTTACACAACCAGCCTTTGAACGCGGGATCCTTAGTCCACGAATCAAAAAAAAAAAATGCGCGTACGCTTGGTTTGCATCATATTTAAGTCATATGTGCCCAAAGAATAAATATCTTTTGAGGCACCTGCTGCAAAAAACAAGTCTTGTAAAGATTTATTAAGAAAATAATTCAAAATCAGTTCTACTCACAAGATTTATGTAGTAACAAATTTGCCCACAGTGTGAACGTAAGTACTTACTCTACAAGCAAATAGTATGCTATACATTGAATATATTGTGCATTGAGAAAAATTACTGGGAATTTAAAAAACGTCATTTTTACACAAAAAAACGTCCAAATGTCAGCAGGATACAAAAAACTTCCAAATGGCGTTAAAAACGTCAACCTGGCAACGCTGGTGGTAATCGTCAGAAGAGTTAGTTAATAACGTACTCGTGCGATACTAACATAATCGTGCAGGCCACTGGTCTGTATGTATGTAACTATAAAATTTATTTAAGGAATATACACACTTTAGACAGTGCGACTTTATTTAAAGTTACTTTCATACAATTTGTTTCATATTACTAAGCTTAAGTTTTTACAAAGTGCATGAAAGAAATCAATCAAAAATTGGTTAATATTACCAAATTCAAACTTGAAAAGGAATCCAATGTGTGTGTGAAGGTTACTATTAACAATGCCTTGGTTGATATTTTCAACAACGATTTGGTTATACTAAATTACATTAACCAAACTATTGGTTGGCGATTTTTCGTTTGAATAAGTTTGTATTCTGCACTTCACAGGTGCATTTTCATAATTCGGAGGTACACAATAAAAAATTATTATAATTTTATTACCTCTGACGAGATTAGCAAATAACAGCAAGCATCTGTACACACTTAGCTACAGCCGCTATATAAATGTTTCTTCAATTGTTCAACTTAAATAAATTTTCTTCGTCGTTTGATTTGGTTCTGCACTTTCCAGAGCCTTTTGCTTAATTAAGAAAAACCAAAAACAGGAAAAAAATAAAAATTATGTATCGCGCTGACGGCACTCGTACTGCTGGAAGCCAACAAATAACGGCAAGAACCTCTGCACGGCTTATTGACCATGAAAAAATCAAACCATAACTTGGTTGAAAAAAACATTGTTCTTTTGGCTCAGTGAATGGATAACATGTAGTCTACGTGCTTGTTTCTTCGCGGCTTTGAAAAAAAAAAACAGAACCAACACTTCCCTCAAATTAAAAATTACCAGTTGAGGGTATAACTTAAATCGTATCTCTTCTTCTGCTTCAGCTTACATACTTTTTTTTTTTAACACAAAACTCAAATATTTGTATTCATATGCCAGTAGAATTCTTTTAAATATTCAACCCAAAGCCAATGCAATTATGCCACAATCCCCACCAACTACACCGAAAGCAAACTCATCACAAACGAAATTTGAAACCAAAACCTTTTGAAAACAAATAAAATGAATATAAATGCTTGTTGGTTAGCTGCTGTTGTTGGCAGCTTTGTGGCCTTCATGCGATTGTCATATGAAATGCAGATATGTATGTATGTAGTCTTACTTTTATGCAACAAATAGGCAACATACAAAAATACTCGTAGCTAGACAACGGATGCTTGCAAGTGGTTTGTGTATGATTTTGTATTTGAATGTTGCGCGTTCATATCTAACAACTTTTTTATTTTGATAAAAGATTAGTAAATTAAAAAAAAATAAAAGCAAGCATAGAAGTATATGTAAGTTCGGGCGAAACGAATTTAATATCTGTGTACACCTTTCTGTAAACTATCTTCGCATGATAAGCGGCACACATTAGATTTAATTCAGTATATACAAAAGTAAGATGTAACATCTTTTATAGTAAAGAAACAAGAAAAACAATAACACAACAAATACACAATTTTAGACTTACTTTTCGAAAATATGCAAAACTTGACTTAAGGCAATAATAATAATTGTACCTAGTTATCGCGGTAAACATTTCTAGTCATAAGTAGACGGTGCCAACCTGACTTTTTAAAAAAATCTATAATAATCTTCTTTGTTGTTAACCCTTCGCCGGGCGCAACTGATCTGTGAGGCATAGCCACATTTTATTATCTTGTCGTGCCGTTTTAAATTGCTAAGTTTGCTGACGCTCAGTAGCTGCCTCTTTCAAAGTGCTCTATAAATCAAAACAACTCAGTTTTGGTTTGACCTTTGTAACGAGAGGTTATGCAGAGTTTGATCTAAGAAGGTCATTGCGCACAAGCTCGTCAAATTTATTAAAGCAAGTATTTTTAGAATGACTTTTTTACTTTAGTTAATAATTCATATAAAAGTAGCTAATTCTTGCTCGTTTGTAAATGTCACGACGGCGCAATATCACGGCTTAGAACTGGTAGTTGAGGAGTGGTTTCTTTACACAAATTTTATTTATGTATACCTAAAAATTTCATAATTCGGCACAATTTCTAAAAGAGTTTAATCTTTCGATATTTCTTCATAAATACCAACCGCCTTCTGTAGGGATATTAAACTGCAAAATCTGCCCTCAGTGGGAAAAAAGGACAACACAACCAAAGTTAAGAAAATGTTCGGCCCTTTACCTTTCATGGCGGCTTGCATTGCCAAAGCACTGTAACTGTGTATAGCTTTGTATGAGCACTTTGTGTCTACTGTGGCTTTCTTGGCTTTGTTGTGTGGCATCTTCGTGGTTGCAATTATGCAATTATGCTCGCAACGCGCCAACACTTGTGGCAATTGTAAAACAAGCCAATGGGTTTGTAAATATTTTATTTTGACTTTCACAAAAGCATAAATGGACAAGTATGTAACTTGGATGGGAACATACATATGTAGGTAGAAACTTACAAACGAACTACAGATATGACTGCATTGTGGCAAAAGAGCTTGCAGTACTATGCGTGCATTTGGCAAATGTTTTATATTTGAAAAGATGTACCACAATTACATACCTAAATCCAGAGCCATTCCAAGGATACTTATTTAATATGTCTTTGTCTCTTTAACTATCTTAGTCATTAGTTCAACACGCCGTTGCTTTGTGAACTATGATTTTAGATGACTTCTCATGGCACTGAATTACTAAGGCTTTGGAACCTAAAGCTATGCAGATGATTTCTTAATCTACAAAATAGGTGCGGATGACGAGTAAAATAAAAAAAATAGATATTGACGCATACACAATTGAGAGATTCACAACGGTGTCGTAAGTGTCGTATTGTTGTATGTCGTAAACTTTAAAAGCATAAATAAATGTTTAGAGAACTTGAAACGACAACCAACTATTTTTCAACACTGCAATATTTTTTTTGGCGTTCAAAGTTTACGATATACAACAATACGACACTTAAGACACCGTTGTGAATACCCGACATATATTAATATTTGGTCCCGGTGCTGGATTCTGTAACCGTGAAAAAATTTGTGTACACCGAGTACAAAAATTACAACCAAAAACTCATAAGGCGCATAAACGTGTTAAAAGCCGGCTTCACTGCTCTAGATGAAAATAGGGTAGCCAAGTATCTAAAATTTAAGTAAATTAAATATGTACCTTCAGTAAAATATTTCAAGGTGTTTAGGGTATGATAGGTATCAGTGTAGCCACACATGGGCTTTTCCTACCAAAACTGGTGGATTTTTTTTCCATTTGGAAGGTTGGTAGGTTATATTGGGTTTTGGTAGGTTCTGCGACAATAACAGTTATTTGCCAAAAATTGGTAATCTATATCCTCAAATATTTTAGTAATCTATTTACGCGAATATTTCACCGGTGCGTTCGTATAACTGCGACCGCAAACATGTAAATATAACTAAAAAGTATGCAAATAGAAGCGTATACTCTTACTATTGAACACATTATGAACATCCACATCGTTACCTAAATTAACAAAGGTCCTAACCAACCAATTTTTAATTTTACATTACAAGCAAACAACATTACAAAAAGTATAACAAAAAACAGGTAGAGTTTTATAAAAAAAAAACAAAAAAAAAAACGAAATTCGGGTGAGCATTTAACTCAAAATTTATGTAAAGAACTTCATCGAAGACAACAATTAATCTTGTATTGCTAGAGAATTGAAAACCCATGATAATTTTTAAAGTCTTGAAGGACCTTACTTTTTCTTAGCTTCACACAGTGGGCCGTGAGAAAACAGTAATCTTTAAGGTAGCCAACCTTTAACAATATCTGTCCATGGGCTTTATTAGTCGTAATCCGAAGCGTAATAATCACTGAAAATTGACGCCGTTTATAGTGAGAGGCAGTTAGTATCACACTTTTAAATTAAATATTTCTTAATCTTAGAAGCCTAATCTAATTAGGAGCAGCGGAAAGCCTTAACATATGTCTTAAAGGCGTATTTGACTTAAAAGATAACCTGTGAGCTAAAATATATTTAGTCCTTCCCTATTTTTTTTAACATTGAAGTTGTGGGTTAAAATAATAATAAAACATAGTTTTATTAATAAAAGCTATAACCACATTTAACAAAAGAACAAAATAAAAAGTAAATTTTGTGTTAAAATAAAAAAAAGACATTTCGTGTACGCCTTGCAGACGTAGACTATGATTTTAGGGTTAACCCTTTCAGTACAAAAATTCTAAAAATTTTAAAATGTGTATACCCGCTTATTTTGAATTGTTCATTTTAAAAATCACATCAAAATTTTTTTGCCGTCATTCAAGGTCCTGTTTAATGGTCAGTGATATCCTAGGTGTTTAAAAAAGAAAGTCATCTCAACTATTTTTGTTTTTTGCTTTCGTGAAATATATTTTTAAAAACTATGAATAGTACCTAATACCTTTTCCGAATCTTAATTCCACGTAAGATTGGTTAATATTTTTCAAGAGACTTTATTACTAGTTTTCTGCCACTTTTTACCTTTTTGCTGCAAATGCAGCTGGCACTTTAGTTTGAGATATTATTAATTACATCACAGCGTACGGCAATGCGCGCGAGTG